ATCTACTTTGGTCAACTCGCTACATTAATGAATAAATCTACATGGACAGCGTTTCCAATGCATCCAGCCACACACAAGCTCACACACACACCCATGCACAGCTCGAACGAGAAGCAGAGCTAAACTAGTGGCTCTGCTCACGTTCAGGTGGCACCAACAAAGAAATAGTCAGTGTGCGAACGTGCGTCATCATCCGCAGCAACATCATTATCGCCGCTATAATTACGAATGCTTCGTTTTGGCCAACTCAATTATGTGGGGAACAAGAACAGTAGTGTCTCATTTGAGCCGGTCACTGCTCAACTTTCTTAACTATGCGCCGATGCTGACATTACAGTTTCCATGCCAATCAAAAGTTATTTAGCGTCGAACGAATGAATCAGCGACATGCGGCAGAAAGTATTTACAGTTTATAATTTACAATTTACAGTTTACAATTCACAATTCACAATTTACAGTACTCAGTTGAAAAGTTAAAAGCATGCCAACACCTGTCCACACACAATCGCCTCAGTTACAATCTGGAAAATGTTGTGGCATTTTACCTGATTTGCTTTACACTCGACACAACATTTTGACAGTTAACGAATTTTTGGTGCAAAAGTTTCGCACATGTTTTAACATTTCGAGAGAATTATGCAGCAACAACTCCTGGCTGTGGGCTGCTCTGGTATTGGTAAGGTAGTTAATGCCGGATAGCAGTTGACAACAAAATTAAGCGAGGCAGTCGTGCGTGCCCGGCAAAGGTTAGGAGCTGCGTGTTCGCCGCCATTTGTGAGTGGAAAAGTCTCCTGGCAGCAACTTTCACAATTGCGTGCTGTTGGTATTGTGGGTTTTAACTAACATTTTATACTTTGATAAAGTTATAAACCCTGTTGCCTACGAGTCCTGAGTTATTACCATAAGTTAAGTCTGCTCTGAAACTGATTTTCTACCAGTTCAAGTTGGCTAACAATAAGACTATGTGGCTCGAGGGCTCAATTAAAACTAAAAACTGTCTGCAAATTGCGCTGCAACATAAGTCGTGCACTTGACTTAGAGCAGTAGCTCGGATGCTCGCTGACCATCTGATTTCTCTCCTTCTTGCCCCTTGGCGTAGTATTTGCCGGTTACCCATTGACAATGGTCAATAGCAACTGCCAATAACTGAAATTGAATTACTGTTTTTAAATGCATACTGCTTCAATGTCTCTCCGGAGCTTTCGATGCGCTATGAAAGGAGCTACGGAAAATCTGTTTGGATGCAAGCACATGCAAAACATGGGAACATGTCCGGGGCAGAGGCTTCAGATTCGAAAAGCACAAATAGGAAATTAAGTGCTAACCATTTCTGGACATGGCGTCCAGCTCCCTTTTTTCGGTCATGCATTCAATTTACTTTGCACTACTTTCGGATTAAGTCTGTGTCTGTCATGTTGATTTGTATTTACTCTTTATGCATGTATGTGTGCCTGTATGCGAATGCGATTGCGTATGCCTGTGTGGCTGTGTGCGCGTGTGGGTGTGTGTGTGTGGCATGTGTTTCTGCGGTTGCAAGCGCGTCGATTTCGGCATAAAGTTGAACAATGCCATTAACAGCGCTCGCTGTGTGTCCTGCAACTGTTGCCCACGCGCCAGTAGGTTGGGCGCAGAATATTATTAATCCTATTGATTTGTGTTAATGATTGTCACTGACACTGTTGACCAAACAACTGCGGTTCTACTTAGCTGTGGCTGTCGTCGCCCTGCTTGCTCTCTGGCCAAGCAAATTCGTTTTCGGGTTTGTTTAAATTTACTGCAAGCGAGCGATTGCAGGCCCAAACACAAGTGGCGCAGGCCCAACTTGAGCTCTCTCAAGTGGACTTTGAGGTAAATTGTCACATCAATTCTGTGAACACGTGTGTGTTTGCCTTGCTCCTTGGTGTATTGATATTTCACAAGAAATCAACACACGGAACACAAACAGCAAAACTCACATACAACACATACTATTTCAAGTCTCGCTGCCCGCTCCTGTCACCATTTGCAGCGGAAATGAAAAATCAAATCGAAGAAAGGCACAGGAAATTCAGTTCTTCGTATTTCACCCGACGTTGCTTGTGTGTCCCTGTGTGTGTATCTCAGTGTGTCACAGTGTGTCCCAGTGAGTGTGTGTGTAATGGTGTGTTCGGGCATCTAGCTGTTAAAATTTAGCCAATGTCTAGTGTTTCTAGAGAGCTCTCCACTATTGACTATTTATCTCTCCTTGGTTCAAATATGTGTGTGTGTGTGTGTGTGTGTGTGTATGCTTACCTACTCAGCCCTGTCATAGACATAAAATCGTATTTTTATTGTTTCTTCCTGCATTGTTTGGATACACTTGTCGACCGTTGAGTCTTAACTTTAAGACAAATTTCGTAACGTTAGAAAAAGTGATTCGACTGTAGATATAAAATTCCAATGCGGGAGTTAAATAATACCGCCATTCGCTTGCGTTAGAAGAGAAGTCGGGTTATTCTGGAAATAAGAGTATATCGAATTCAGTGCACTCACTGCATAAATTTATGCTCGGCTTATTGTTGGCATTTGTCTGCGCTTGAGACGGTTTTATCGTCTTGGCCATAAGCCTAAGCAAATACAAACAATTTTGTCTCGCTGCAAAAAGAACTTTAAAAAAATATATGTGGCAAAGCAGCCGGCGATGGAAATGGTAAAATGCCGGAAAATAATTAATAGAGTCAGTTTAATGAATTTTCTGAGGAGTGGAAGAGTTTTCCATCCCCTCACCATATGCGAGATACTCTGAGAAGATTTTCTGAAGTTGCACTAATTTATTGAAATCATTTACCACAAATCAGACAATTCTCGCACTGTGGAAAAGGAAACTAATTAAATGATGAATGCGTCTGACAGAAGCTCAGGGAGTTGTTTTCATTGATTAGTTACCTGCCACTTCAACTACCTGATGCTCTGCGCTTGCATGTGAGCTGGGAAAACATCCAAGACAGCTGCAACGATTCCCACTGCTCTGATTGAACAATGCATGATTTAATTAATAAATAAATAAGTGCATGCGTGCGTTCAGCAGCAATCGAGTAATTGCAAATGCAAAATACATTACACAAGTGTGACAAACAATTAATTATTGAGCCCCGATTGTCTTCCAACTGAACTACACTCTCGTCTTGTGGCTGCGGCCAACGGTGCCTGGTCTGCCTGGCATCGTCTTTGAGATACTTAGTGACAATTATTCTGCGACATTTGCCATTTGTCACTCGATATTTGCTTCCCTGCTATTTAATGCCGACCTCAAATTGAATGGGCCTTTGTCCAGGCGGCTTCCTGACATAACTTCAAAGTAAATATTTGGATACATAACTTACATACAATTACGACTCACTAAGATGTGGATACAGTTCAAACAGCGTCATACGGACTTTAGTCGAGCTAGAGACTTTTTAGAGTATCGAATCATTTCTCTTGTTCAAATCTGGCAAATTTGGTGAATATCGTGGAAAAAGTGTGAAATTAAATTATCATATCGCTCGGAGATGAGGCTTATTTGAATGCCCAACACCAACTAAACTAACTCTATGCAATTTGCTTGCTATTGTATCACATTCAGAGTATTTCAACTAAATTTCATATTTATTGCGGTTCGGGTTCGGCGTCGGCTTTGGCGTCGGCCCCAACTCAAACTCAAACTCAAACTGAAGCTCAAATTCGAAACCTTGTGGGCCATTCAAGATTTGAAGTGAGGGCAACCGCAAACTAGTTTCCTCTGAATCTGCACAACGCGCTGCATATGCCGGCGGAAGTAGTAGCTACGCAGTGGTTCGACATGTGGTTGGGATTGGGCTGCGTAGGGTGGGGCGACCGCAGCGCACACAGAAACTTTCACAATCGAAAATGATAGCTTTGGGCACTCAAGAAATTTGCCAGCGCCAGTGAGTTGCAGCTGCTCGTTCTAGCATCCACATCCACTGTCAATTTAAAATTGTTTCATTTTGTTTCGCGTCTAAGCTGCATAAGCACAATATACTACCAAATTTTACGGATATCCGGTCGTCTGCTGCTGAGCTCTGCTGCTGCGTCGCGCACATTGGTACAGCATACCTCGAGGCACTTCATTAAAACGCAATTAGTGCCGATTTGAATATTGATGCCGAATAGCAAATTCTGTTATTGATATTGAAATGCTGATACTGAGAGCTTCAAACTTTCTGCATCCGCCCTGCGGCATTTTGACAATTCAATATTAATTTTTAATTTTATATTTCAGCCAGGGCTTTAACGTTCTGCGCAAGAAAATCGAGCAGGCAGCCCGCTCATTATTCATTCAGAGGTGCTTTGTTTTTACAAAGCAATTAAATTGAACCATAAACGAATTACACTTAAACGGTTCAATCAAACGTAAAATTTGCTCATTTGCACCAGGCGAGTGCATGATCAAATGCATGATTGAGTGCATCGGCATTTGTGTGTGTGTCCTATTGTATGCATCTGTGTGTGTGTGTGACATTGCAAGGCGTCCCAAATGAAATTGAAATATAAATTCAAATCCATTGGGCGCAACGGGCGGCGCAATCAGGCGCAAATTATGCGCGAAGCGACGCGTAACTGCAGAGGCAAGGGGTAGTCATCCCTGTCAATTGAACTGTGTAGACACCTGTTAAGGGCGACAGGTGAATACACAGCAGTCAAACAAACAACGACCACTCAGCCCAAGAGCTCGGTCTCCGTTTTGATGCACGATGATGATGCGGATGATGATGATGAATGAGAAAACAAAATGGCGCATGGGCTGCAATTGAGCATATTAAGAGAGCAAAGACCCTTCGTTCCTTATTGACTTGCTGCAGTGATAGACGAATTATTCATACAACAGCAGCTATTCAATCGGCAGCCCAGTAAGTAGACTAGCAAAAACAATGCCACTTCTGTCTGCATATATCACCCCACCGGGACTCCCATCGATACCCATACAGATGCTTGATATTAGCTATTCAAATTAAATTTAGTTTTCAAAAGATCAAGTTTAGTAAACAGGGTAAGCAGCTCCATTTCACTTACCGAATAACTGAATATATTTTAATGAGAAAACAGAACAAATTTTACATCACGACCGCGCCGCTTTTATATCTGAAATATGGCATCTGGAGGCACTCTTTTGACGCCGCCGACTCCGAATCAAATTTTGTTTGCGCGAAACTTTCTTCTGGCTGTGAACAAAAATAAAGAGTTACAGGCTCAGAACTTAATTATATCACCCGCGGGAGCACGCAGTGCCCTGACTCTTGTATTCATGGGCGCAGGCGGCAAGACTGCCGACGAACTGCGCTCAGGGCTGATGTTGGGACCTGCTAAGAAGATTGCAATCGCCAAACAACATGCCGAATTCATAAGTAATGATTGCGTGTGCAACGAAAAGGGAGTCTCAATACGCCTTGCCACTGGACTCTACGTTAGGCACGATCAGGACGTGCACCCCGAGTTCGTAGCACAGGCAGAGGAATTTTTCAATACTCAAGCAAATACGTTAAACTTTGTGGATGCCGTAGGCTCAATGCATCAAGTCAATTCGTGGCTGCAGCGGCAAACCTTTAATACTGTCTGCAATTTGCTTACTGCGGATGCGTTCAGCTTGGAGTCGAAGATTTTTTTAGTCAACACGCTTTATTTCCGTGCCAGGTGGGCCAAAAGCTTTTCCGTACAGAACACTGAGTTGGGTGACTTCACGATAAGCTCAGCACAGAAAATGCAGGTTCCCATGATGCGACAGGTATATCTTGCATGAGTACCTAACTAATGATCTGCCTGGATGTGTCAATTGTGTAGTATTGTTTTAATTGTACTTTCAGATCGGCGAGTTCCGCTTTGGCGAGTCTAAGAAGATGAACGCGCGCATACTCCAGCTACCCTTTGAAGAGTCGGACTTAAATCTGCTTCTGATTGTACCACTGGAAGAGATGGGAATTTCGAAACTGGTATCAAAGTTAGAGAAGATGGACCTCAACGAAGTAGCTCTCAAGTCAGTGATGCATGAGGTTGATGTAACTGTGCCACGCTTCAAGATCGAGTGCGATGTGGACCTGAAGAAGCCGCTGCAGAATGTGAGTCAACTTCAATTCCCTATTTAGCAGCTCAGCATGAACATGTAATCAATTATAGCTGGGAGTAAATCGCGTCTTCACGAATGCAGTCGCCGAGTTGCCTGGACTGTTTGCTAAGAAGTCGACGCATGCTATTACTGAGGCCAGGCAAAAACTCTTTCTGAGTGTAAACGAGGCTGGCTGCGTAGTTGATGATGGCGAATGTGAGCATCGTTTGCATTAATAACATGGATCAGAAATCTAAACTATTTTCCTCTTTAGCCCCTAAAGTGCGTACTTTCAAAGCCAATCCGGAGCGCAAAGTCTTTGTAGCGAATCATCCATTTGTGTTTGCTATACGAAACAATAAGGCTGTTTATTTTGTCGGTCATTTTGTCAGACCCTGATTAGCTCGAGCGCATCGCGTAATTTACAAATAAATCCATGAAAAGTCTATGAAAGGAATTGCAAATTTATTTTTCTTTTTTCTCTCAAATCTCGTGACGCTATCAATGGCAGCATCACATAGCCAGGGCAGTCTGGGCAATTGCAACAAATGACAATATCCCATGAACATCAAATTATTGCCGTACAAATGTTCGCATTGCACAACGGCACACAGACACACGCATCTGCGGCAAGCACAATGGCAAAGGGTATGCACGACTATGGTTAACTAACAAATCACTTAATTTAATTAAAATTCTTTCAAAATAAAATCGATATGTCTAATAATTTATTTATATAAAATTTATTTACTTGGAAATATTAAATACTCCTTGCTATTTTGCAGTACAGGGTATGCGCAAGTCTCACAAAAAAAAACAGAAAATCACAACTGTTGGCCAACGAAAGCAAGAAAACAAATAACAAAATGGCAAAATAGCAAAAGAATTCAATGAAGTGAGACTTGGGGGAGCACATGAAGTTATGGCGGGAGGTGCCGCATCGACAGATCATTGAGAATTTCGCTGATATGAAAAGAGAGAAAGCTTGCCTTACTGTGACTCTGAGTGAACAATGGCCGCGAGAGTTGTTGGCCTGCCCCATGGAGGCTGGAGAAACTAAATGAAAAGTTAAAAGCAGCAAAAGGAACGTCGTGTCGCCTCGTTCGCGTCGTTCGCAGCGCCCTCATGCCCGTTTCTTCTGGCAAAAGCTGTACAACTTGTTAGCCAATTTTAAATACAACTGCTGCCACTGACAGTAATCAAGATTGCACGGCGGCAGTGGCTACAACAATGCCAAACGCCATTCGAAGGGGGAACCAACAATTGAAAAATAAGTAATTTTCCAACTGTTGTGAACTATGTACGCAGAGCCCCAACATATACTAGCAACAATATAGTAGCTGAGACAAGCACAAAACAGGAGTTGGGCTCCTAGCTGAAATAGGAGTTGAGGTCCGCGTTCGAGTTCGCGTCCATCGGCGTCCGGTTTCAAACTTTGTCGTCCAATTCATCGATGATTGTCGTGGACTACCGTATGCCATTGGCATTGCCATTCAGAGCGTCTGCCATTGATGGCCACTGCCGGGTATTCTGGCAAATGTTTATCTTACGGTTCGGTTCGGTTCGGTTCGGTTTGTGTTTGTGTTCGTGTTTGTGTTTGGGTCCGCCCTGCACAGCGCGTCTTTCTTGATTTTACTTATGCCTCTAGGCCGCTGGAAGCGTCGTCATCAAAACGGATGTGCAGCTGCACAAACTTTGTTCCGCCGGGGCGACGCAGTGGAGGGACTGGAAATTGTGCTCTGGCCCCGGACAGTTGTGTAATTTGGAAATGCTAATGTAATGTCACTGTAATGAAATTACCGAAATTGTTACTACAAAATAGTACAAGATAAATGAAAAATGAAATAAAAGTTTGAATTACGGCAAGCAGATGTTGATAAAGCGAACTAGTAAAGAGTATCCGACTGGGACAGGCCAAAATGAGATTACTGAAGACTCCCCCTCTTCCTGTTGCGCTGGACTAGCCTAACAAGATGTAGGTATAAATATTAAAATTATAAACATGGCTTAAAGCAGAGAGCTCGTTTGTATTAACATTTGTAACATTTTACATTTACATTTTGTTTTATTTAATATGCACAATTTTTAGCTCTATAAATTAGTTAGGAATGCAAATTAATCAGTCCAATAAACATTTCGAATATTTAACACTGGAATTGTTTTGGTTTAGTATTTGTTTTGGGGCTGGGCTAAACGTTGATGATGCTTACAAACATTTCGGCATAATGCATAAATACATTTTAGCCGTCACATAATTTTCAATAGCAACTCAATAAATCAAGAACTGCTGGCCGAAAATGTAATTCAAAACCAATCAAACGCATCCACATGCAACAGCGAGAGCCGAATCCCGGCGGTCACAAAATCTCTATTAGCCATCTTCATTTGATCGCATGCCAAACAGCGACAGGGGGCCATTGTGCACATACATATGTATACAGATATTTACAGCATATATGGCACGCACACAATTGTTTCACAAATTGCATAGACAAGCCCACTATAAAAACGAACCATGAAGCATGAGAATTGCATAATCGCCGCCGTTCGCCGTCCACCCACACTCAAAACACTTGTCCATCAAATCCGATTGGCTGATTTGGTTTTATGACTAGCTGTTTATACTAATACTCGTTTATATATATAACGTTGTGTGGATACATTTGTATTTGCAACATTCAAGTAGAACAAACTCAGCATTCGACCAATTGGGCTGCCCAGCTCGAATTGCATTTGCAAATCTTCATATTTTAAGTGGTCCAGGGCATTATTAGTATTAGTATGTGTATGTGCTGCGTCTGTGTTGCTAATCGGTATAATTGTGTGTCCTACTTGTGCAACATTTGCCAGTGATGACGGTAGTTAAGACCCACTCAAAGCAAGGCTTAGTTAAGCCATGCTTTTCACTTTCTATTCTCGTTTAACATTTCAAACTATTTAATAACTGAATCACATTCGTAGAGTTAAGCAAAACGAATTTATTACACTTTTTCTCAGCTTTGGCTTGCCAAAATTTGCCATTCCTTAAGTGTTTACATTTCTCTGCAGACGTGCACTGCATCGCAACACAATTCCCTCTCTTGGAAATTATTCGAATGCATTTTGAGTGCACAATAATACCAAATTTTCAAGCTCTTGACTGCTGTCTGATGCTTGGCCATACATTCATACTGACAAAATTACATTTCAATTTTAAAACTGACTTTAATTGCATGTTTTCAAAACTGCTGAGGTGTGTAAAGTGAGTTGAAAGTGGCAGCGGTAGTGGCTGTGGCAGTGCCAGTGGCAGTGGCAGTGGCAGCTCAAAAATGGCTTGCCATGAGCGCCGCTTATCGTTCGGCTGCAGCTTAAGAGCCGTTTAATCCATCACACGACAAGTGCAGCAACCATGGATGGGCACTTTTTCTCCTTGCCTCGGCTTGTGGCACTCGTGCAAAGTGCTGCCCTTGCTTGATAATAAGCCGTCATGCTGGCCAACAGCCAGGACGGGTTTTCATTGTGGTTACGCATACGCCACGTTGCATCAGCCTGTGTAAGATATGCGTGCAAAAGTTGGCTGTTAATTTCAAATGCGAGCCAACGAATTGCCAGTCAGATGCCCTAACGCAAAAATCGGTAACAGACAAAAAAGAAAATACTGCAAAAAATGCAACGAGTTGGGCAGGTGATTTAAAAACCATTTGTCAGCAGGAGGCAGCAAGCAGCAGCTAGCAGCCAGCAACCAGCAGTCAGCAGGCAGCAGGCAGTAGACTGTAGACTGTAGAGTGAATGGAAATGATGATTTTTGCTAGTATGGCTTGCAGGAGTTTGGGTGATTGGCTTGGGTCAGTGAAATTATTCAAATTATCTTGTGCAAGATTTTACTGTCAGGTGCCGTCAGGCAATAAGAACAACAACTAGAAGGGGGACCAGCACCAGACGGCTACACCAGCAGTTGCCGCAGGGCAGCGATCAAACTGCTTTAGTGCCATTCTTTTATCGCGCTGCCTCCTCCGCAATCCAAAAATGAGAAGTTGCTAAGCGCACCCCCAAGAAACAGCAACCGGTAGCTGACAGCCGACAGGCTGCTGCGTCCTGCTCGGGCCTGCTCGGTCCTGCTTCTGTCTGATTTCACTTTTGTTGTTCTTGCCCTTGTTGATGACAATTGTAAATCCCATCTATTATAAGTGCTTCTTACCACTTGCCGTTGAGCATTGACATTTGGCTAATGGCAAAAATGTCTCCAAAATGCAGACGACAAACAAGCAGCTGCCATGACAGCAATCCAAGACATGGCCACGACATTAGAGCAGCTCTGCTGCTGTCGCTGAAAGACCCTACTTTCTCAGATCATATCATGCGCTTTAATGTAGGCATTACCACTGCGGAATCTATTACTGTACATAAAAACATTTCGCCAGCAGCTTATGTATACACAGCTAATATTATCGACTTCCGAAATGAAATCCCGCTGATCCCTTTTCGCACACGTGAGTGAACTGAAAATAAATAGGCGAAAGCTTCAACAAAGCGGCACAAGAAACTCTTCACAAAATTTGACAGTTGCTGCTTTGTTTTATTAAATATAATTATAAAAGATCTAATCAATAGTCGCCGACCGCAATTTAGCAATGGCAAAACGCAAACGAAAACCTATTTTTTGAAACAATACATAATTCATTAAGCAGCAGGAGGCCGTTTGGACTGAGGAGCAAGTCGTAGGCAATCATAAATCAAACACAATTTGATTCACTGATTAGAGTCGATTGCAAGGCTACACACACACCGACATAAGCGTGCACACAAAGTATCGCTAGCATTAGGTGTGAGTATACATATGTCTGTGGCAGCTACTTGAGCGCTCCTATTTAATCAAACCAAGCCCCAACGGCCATTGATTAATAATGACGCGCAGCACGAGATGCCGAACTAAATTGCCTATCTAAATATGTGCTTTGTGGAATTAGGAAAATCTTTTTCGAAGCCGATAGATTATTCAATGTGCAACAACCTTAAAGCCTTATCGAAACAACAAATATTTTCAATGACAGCAATTTTAAATTGTCTCCCTCCCGCTCTTCACCTCTCTCTTGCGGCACTCAAAAGCAATTAATTTCCTCTTTTATATGATATAGTCCTTAATTGAAAAGGACATGCAGCAACTACAAAAATGTCCTAAAAATATACAAAATACTTATATGAAACGCAAAGTGCCATCACGTTGTCGGTGTCAGTGTCCGGGCCGAATTTGTTATGACAACTGATGTCGATATGGATGTCGGTAACGAAGTCGATGTTGTTATTGTTTGCTTTTCGCAAATTTCTGAAATTGTTTCTTTACTCTGCGCCCAAGAGAGCAGCCATTCTTTGGCCCTGCCCAAGACATATGCAACTGCAGCTGCAGCAGACACTCAGCTGCATAAGTATGCATGCAATAACTCATTAGCATAACATTTCCGTCTCTCCATCTTCAACTGAGTCAAGTGACATATGCGCC